TTATTCCACGTTTTACAGTGTAAAGTGAAGTTTTAAGTTTTTTTGTAATAAATCCTGTTGTGCCATAAAATGAACATACAATTATCATACATATTATATTTAAATAACTTAAGATAATGGATTAACATAAAGGAGTACAACTTTGAATATTGTACCCCAAAAGGCACTGGATTGGAAGGTATTAATGTTTATCAAAATACTCAATTTATTTTACTGAAAAAGTTCAGGAAATGATCGCATTCTGTGCGTCTTTTTCTCAGATAAACACAATGTGATCGAAATGAATGTTTTTGTGTTTTTACAGTAAACAGTCCCTCTTCTCACATCCATCCTCCTGAATTACAAAATGCAATGTCGGCAGATGGGAAGGACCGACAGACAAATTATTTAGTCTGCCTCATTTTTCTCGGACCACCACACAGATCAATTATTTATCTCACATGCGGTTCCAAGTACAAAAGGAACATTAATGCATCCCACATACTGTGATTCATTAGGACCCTCATAGTGGTGTATAAATGTGAACTTCATATTTCACCTGTTCACAAACTGCTCTTTAATCTCTGAGCAGTAATCTGTACACCATCTTGGTCCATATTGTCAGAGCCATAATCCCCTGATGTGCTTCTAAAGGCCCTCAGGTTATGGGCCACACTTCTACTTCTGTTGCCTCGGGCTAATCTCAGATTATCTTTATTTTCACATGCAGACCAGTGAAAGGCACTTCCTGATGTTTTATGTAATTCAATAAAAGCTTAAGGACCTGATGCCAAGGGACTTCCAAAAATGTTCTATCAAATGTATAAATAAATGTATTATTAAATTGTAATTATTTCTCACACACATGACAGCTTAATGTAACAATGATACAGTATATGATCAATTGTATTAACATTCCCTTCAATACATGTTACATTTTAGAACTTTTAAAATACTGAATTATGAAAATGTAAATAATGAACAAATATAATAATTAAAACTTCAATTTTATTTTCTCTACTTGACTATTCTTATTATTTTCTCTACTTTATTACATGTTTTCTTCACTATAATATATATATATAAACATAGTAGGAGTGCTTAAACTGCATTATATGTAAGCAATTCCAGTTTTTTGTTAAATCTTGCAATAAAAATAATAACATTTGTTTATGTTTTTATTGTTATACAATAAGGTTGGAACATTTCAATCCCTTCTTTGACAAAGTAAAGTGAATTTTAAGAACAAATCAAAATAGCCTTGGTGTTTTTTTAATTTGCCAATTTAGAAGCATTGATGTAGATTTAATAGCTAATAGCTGACTTTAATTTTATTACATAATTTGTTGATATTCTGTTTAATTAAAATTTTAAATCATGAATAGTCCATTTTAAGATTTGTATAGCATAATGCATGTTTAACTGGTAAAAGCCCACACCCTAAGCCCTTTAAAAGTTTGTTTGCACAATCAGCTGTGGTGAGTTGTGATACCAGATGGTAGATTTTGGTGTTTGTGACACATGGACCTGAGTGAAGCCCCGGCCAGAGAGCCCAGCCCAAGATAATTGGAATTTCATTACGGTTTTGTTTATATGTGTGTGTGAGTGTACTGAATGTGCATATATGTGCATATATGTGCATATATGTGCTTGTGTGTGTGTGTGTGTGTGTGTGTGTGTGTGTGTGTGTGTGTGTGTGTGTGTGTGTGTGTGTGTGTGTGTGTGTGTGTGTGTGGTTGTGTGTGTTGGTGTGTGTGTGCTGAGAGTGGGTTATGAGTCTGCATGGGTGTGTTCCTCTATATGCAATATTAAGGATGGAAGGGGGTGGGGGGGGACTCCACCTGCTGCCACCTGTTCATCAGCTCCATCTTATAAAAGCTGCTCCCTCTCTGTCTCCAGGACCACAGACACCTTGGACTCTGCAGCCTGTCCACTATCTGGAGTTACACACATCTGAAAGGACACATTGAGGAGACCTGTGAGGAAGCCTGAAGCTGAAACTGGACACTAATACAACTTTGATTCTTCAACCAGAAACCATGAAGTCTAGGAGACCCAGCTGCACCGACTCCGGATCCGAGTCCTCGGAGGCAGACCCCCAGAGCCCGGAGAAGTACGAGACCTCCACGAAGCGACGGATGGCTGCCAATGCCAGAGAGAGGAAGAGGATGGAGGGTTTGAACACAGCCTTCGACCGCTTGCGTAAAGTGGTCCCCCAGTGGGGCGAGGACAAGAAGCTATCCAAGTATGAAACCCTGCAGATGGCGCTCAGCTACATCCTGGCCCTCAACCGGATCCTGACAGACCCCAGGAGACACAACGCTCCTCAAAGGCAGTGGCGGGACCTGCAGTTGGACTGTGTGCAGCCTGAGAACTACGCCTGCCTCATGAGGTACGACTCTCCCGCTGAGCAGGACTACATCTCGTCCTTCTCCTATCAGTTCGATGGACATCAGCTCCACGCATAAACTGCTGCCATTCGGCACACGACCAGTCATGTTGTTGGATGTGAGTGACAATGTGAAAAAGTCTCCTTCAATCAAGGAGACAGTAAATACATTTGTATTGCATTATTTTGTATTTATCTAGTTTTTGTATGATCAGAAAGAATTCTATTTCAGTCTTATTTATTTTTGCTAGAATAAACCCAGCAATGTTGAGCATTTTTTTGTTCAAGTTATAGAAATGACAGAAGCGTAGTGTCATTATAATGCCCATGAGCTTGTACTGAAGATACAGGAAGAGGGCATTTTCTATCAGTTTTTTTGATACGGCCCTAAAAATGTTGTGCAATGTTCAATGGATTCTGAGAAAATCATTGTGGTCTAAGTTGCATTGTTAAAGTCAATATGTAACTATTTTGTCAAAGTGTAAGTACGTGATTGTAGAGTTAAAAAATTGATGTTATTTTTCACATGCAGACTTCTATTTTGTTGAAATATAGCTTTTGATCAAAAATAAAAAAAATATTTTGTATGAAAAATAATTTCTCGTGTTCTCTTTGGAATATAATTTGTCCTATACTGTAAGTGGAATCATACCATTCCATTTCTGTGGAGTCAACTGTACGTAATTACTTAACATGCTATAAGTAAGCCAGTTTATAGAAAGCAAATTTCCAATATTACATAATTTCCTTGCATCATTAAAAACCTTTAAATCTGCAAAATATAAACCTGACACACTAAAAATCCTAATAGTTCAATTTACTGAATATGCATCCTTCTCTAATTGCAATAAAATATTGCTTTTATTATGAGAGAGCTCTGGCATTTAACCCCCATAATATCACATTGTGTGATAATACAACCTAAAAACACGGGTTGTCAAGGAGGAAAACTCATTTACAGCACATCCTTTGTGTTGTGGGTGTCAAGTTCTCAGCAGGAGTAATGGCAGGTCATGTCTGCTCTCTGCCTCGCTCCGCACCCCGGGGAATAAATCAACCTTTTGTCCTGAGCTCCTGCACTCTGAGATAACACTGTTTTACGTCAATGGGGAATCAAAATAAAACATCTAAAATAGGGGTTGACAAGTACAACCATATTGCATTTTCAAATGTTCTCTACGACATATTGGATTTTAAAAGTATCAAACTTATGTACGTGGGCAAGCCAATGTAAGCGGAGCTGCACCAGGCTGCCATATGATCGCCCATTGTTGGAGACACGGCTACTGTTTTAAATGGCAATCATCAGCCGCTGAAAAGTGATTGTTATGAATTTGAAAAAGTTTGAATGGTGGCACAAGCCGCAGCAGATTAAGGAAGCCGGTGTGCCAGATCCTGCCCCGGCTTCAGAGGGGGGGCAGAAATTAAACTCTATTGTGTGGTAATGGCTGTGTGTAATCGCTCTGTTCACAGCCGCTGGAGCATGAACGGCCATAGCTGGACCCAAACTCTATCTGCATTAAGGATAGGACATCTACAGAAGCACTAACTGTACTGACCAACTGCTTATACACTATATGCATTATATCCTAATATTAATAATATTGGGAATAGGTTTTGTTTTTAGATCACCTTATTATCCATTCTGCCTGGTTTATGCCTCTAGCTGCTTGAAATAGAAAGATAAGAATATACATAGAAAAACTCATTAGAGATGACATACATTAAATATAGCTAAAGTATTAATTATTTAATCTGAATAACACTTTTTTGACAACACTTAATGCATATTGCCTATGTGTTGCTTGGGGATTGTTTGAAGAAGTGAGGCCGAAAACTGATACAGATGGTCATAATGATTCAAACACCACGGCAAATGTTTGCATACTTAATAAACGCTTCCTGACAGTTGGCCCGTTGGAAATGAATAGATGGCAGAGTCAAAAGTGTGTAATGGTAACGAGGCGGTGACACTGCAATTACACTCCTCATTAATTCAGACACAAGCCGCAAACAGTTGGTGACAACAAAAATAATCGAAGTGCAATTAATTGATTTCCTCAATGGGAGCAGGTTATTGGATGAGTTGTTAATCAATAGTGACAACAATGTGCTCAGCATGGAAGTAATTGAGAGGGCAAAACTATTTGAATTGTCTTTTAGCGGCTGAATTATTCCGCCATTATGCAAATGTTGCTCCAGCATATCAATAGGTGAATATAAGGGAAATACAAATCTATAGAATGAATTTCCTGAAGTGTTTTTATAATTCAGCTCGTTAGTGCCAGTTTAAAGATGGGTTGTTATCATAGTTTGTACATTTATTGTATTGTACCAAATTGCCTACTGCTGAGATGAAAATGAGGTATCACTGACCATATCTAGGTGACTTTGTTTTGGTAAACCTTGCTGTGGTGTCCATGCACAACAGAACACATGCACGTCATTGCTGTGTTGGGTCTCAATCTCAAGGCTACAAAAGCTCCAGAAGCAGCTCCTCCCTCAACAAAGCTTTTGTCCTCCACTCTTTATAAACATCTCTCCAGCAGGTGTACAGAAACCACTCTGCCTCCCTTCCCTCTTTGATCTGAACACCAGCAGTCCACTGAGGGACACACAGGTGTGTAACAGCATGAAGTGCCTGAACAACCGGGCCGACAGCCACCTGACCGGGCAGGTGGAGCTGGACAGCATGGGAAACGAAGCCTGGGTCAACCACGGCTACTGTGGCTCTCCTCCGGCCCTGCCTCGAGCTGTCAGCACCATCTACAACCCCCAACCCCTCTTCCAGGGCTCCATGGACAGCATGTACAAACTGGACACCCCAGGCCCATTCCCAGAGGACCCAACATCCACCGACCAAAGTCTGGTGAAGAAACCAAGAGGCTGCTGCTCTTTTATCAAAGGTAGGAACTCATTCAGTTTACTTCAGTATTTATTCTGTAATATGTACAGCTCAGCATGGATAGATGGATAGCACCAAAGATCTTGACAAAACCCTTTATCTTACAGGAAACTTTCTCTGGTTCTGGTTCTGTAAATTCAACTGATGTGATTTTAGTTACCTTACATTTTTGTGGACGATCTCGTTGGCTAGTCAATTTAGGCTTGATTTTTAACTGCAAAGCAACTTTATGTCAACACCGGATCAAAGTTATTTTGCATGAAAGGTCTTTAAAATAACTTGTTAAATCATGCAGTATCATAAGAAAATAAATCACTGTAACTTGTCCGTAGGCTTGTGGGGCACAACCTTGACTGAAAACACCTCAAACAACAGAGAACTGTTTGTCCGAACCACGCTACGGGAGTTAATGGTCTATCTGGTGTTTCTGGTGGATATATGTCTCTGTAAGTATTCTACTGTCCTACATTTTGCACTTTCAATGTGGATGTCAATCCTTTTGCAGTTGTGGTAGTCCAACAAGCATTTTCATTAAAGTCTTTGCATTAATATTAAAAATACCAGAAATTTGATATTCGAAGGAAAGTTGAGAAAATGCATTTAAACTTAGTTTGTGTTTACCTGGATTGAATACATAATAATAATAATAATAATAATAATAATAATAATACATGGGATTTGTATAGCTCTTTTCCTAATGCTCAACGCTTTACATAAAATCAGAACAGAAACAAGACAAAGAAAATATATATATCATGAAAATAGTTGAAATTACATCAAAATTAGTTCCAAATACAAACGGTTTGCTTTTCCTGCATGAATGGTCCATAATGTGCCTCAAACCCTTAATGCATCACAGTGTATTTCCATTAAGTGAATTGTGCATCAGAAATGCTTGTTGATCAATTGTTAAATGCTTGTCACGATGTTACTGCTTAGGGCACTTTGGACTGTTTATTTGATTTGCCATCAAAAGCTTCTCCCCTGCATTAATGCCTTCCACAAATGCCCACCCCACCCCTCTGCCTGAAAGCATTGTCCAGCTGAGCATTAGGAGTGAAAAGGACATGGGTACTGCTCCATTGCCGTTTAGCGATAAGAGCATTTTGCCTCATCTATTGTTGCTTTGTCTGGGCTAGATGTACACTGTTTGAAGAGGCTATTTCCATCAGGCCGGCATGTTCTCTCTGTAAACAAATGACGGCCTCTAATCTGGATCTGTTTGACCGCAGGGCCGTAAACACAGCAACAAGAACAAGTCTTCAATAAGGCCTTTCGTGTCTGCTTTTGAGTTGTCTTATCTTGGACTGTTGAATAGAGCCACATTTATAGCCGAGCCTGAGCAAAGCCAGATAGGAATCAAGGGCCGGCCCTTAACAATGTGCTTACGTTGTCTTTCAGTGACATACGGTATGACCAGCTCGAGCACCTATTACTACACTAAAGCCATGACGGACCTGTTTGTGAATACAGCCAGTGAGAGTGGAGTTAGGTTTCAGTCCATTAGCACCATGGCTGACTTCTGGACTGTGAGTTTTCCTTTAAATCCATTTCCATAATTATTACCAAAGTGAAAATTCAAAGAGAAATGACAATATGAAATGTCTTCTGTGTGCCTTTCAAACGCAATCCAATCACTCTTTGTATGAACAGTATTCCCAGGGCCCGTTGTTGGATGGCCTCTACTGGACCAAATGGTACAACAACCAGTCCTTGGACAGTGGAGACCAGTCGTTCATCTACTATGAGAACATGCTGCTAGGAGTCCCCAGAATGAGGCAGATCAAGATCATGAACAACTCCTGCAAGGTCCACAAAGACTTCAGTGATGAGATATTTGGCTGTTTCGATGTTTACATCGACAAGAAGGAGGATGACCTTAACTTCGGACTCATCAACGGCACCGCGTGAGATGCTAACCGTTTTCTTTACAGGATTACTTTGGGTCTCCAGTGAGATTTGAGAACTACAGCAATCTTTTCTTCTCCCTCTACAGGTGGACCTACCACACAGAGAAAGAAATCAAAGGTTCTTCCCACTGGGGCTTGCTGACCACATACAGTGGAGCGGGATACTACCATGACTTGGGTCGCACCAAAGAGGAGAGCACCATCGTACTGCAGGAACTGGTGGACAACCTGTGGCTCGACCGAGGAACCAGAGCAGCCTTTGTTGACTTCTCCACTTACAACGCAAACATCAACATGTTCTGTGTCATCAGGTAAAGAGCAACGTTGACCCTCTCAATTTGACCCATTAGTTTATACCCATGCATTGATTGACTAAAGTTTTATCCACTTCTTTTAGGTTGGTTGTTGAATTTCCTGCGACTGGTGGTGCAATCCCTTCCTACCAGATAAGGACCGTGAAGCTAATTCGCTACATCACCAACTGGGACTTCTTCATCCTCGGCTGCGAGATGGTCTTCTGTTTATTCATCCTCTACTACATTGTAGAGGAGATTATTGAGTTGCGAATACACAAGTTCTCCTATTTTAATAGCATCTGGAACATTTTGGATATTGTTGTCATAATGGTAAGAAAATGCCATTTTTATTTCGTTCGAACAAGTCCTTTTGGTCTCAAAGAATAACAGTTATTTTCCTTCTTAGCTCGCCATCGTTGCCGTTATATTCAATATTTTCCGTACCATAAAAGTGGACAACCTGCTCGGCAAACTGCTAGAAGAACCCGGTATCTACGCTGATTTTGAATTTCTGGCCTTCTGGCAAATGCAGTACAACAACATGAATGCAGTGAACTTGTTCTTTGCATGGATCAAGGTAAAGTATTGAAATATTTCACTCTAACACATAGTTAAGGAAAATTATCTGGCACCATTCCAAATACTGTGTGATGTCATCTTTAGGTTTTCAAGTACATCAGTTTTAACAAGACCATGACTCAGCTGTCCTCCACACTGGGTCGCTGTGCTAAGGACATCTTGGGCTTCGCCATCATGTTCTTCATCGTGTTCTTCGCCTACGCTCAACTTGGATATTTGCTCTTTGGGACAGAGGTTGAATCTTTCAGCACCTTCGTCAAGTGCATGTAAGAGATGTTTGAAGTGGATCAGCAGGAAATATTTAAAATAGAATGACTGATCATACAATTATTTCTTACATTTTTTGTAGATTCACACAGTTCAGGATCATTCTTGGAGACTTTGATTACAATGCCATCGACCGTGCAAACAGAGTTCTAGGGCCGATCTACTTTGTCACCTATGTGTTCTTTGTTTTCTTTGTTCTACTGGTAAGTCGTTTTGTTACATGAGATGATTGATTTAAAAAGATAAAGATGATCTTCTCCTAATCTCTTATATTTTCGTTTTTCAGAACATGTTTCTGGCCATCATAAACGACACATATTCTGAAGTGAAGGGGGAGCTGTCATCGCAAAAAGATGAGCTCCAGATTACAGACATCATCAAACAGGTAAACACAATGAGACTCATGTTCAAAATGGGAGAGGTTTTCCACAGGTAACAAACAATATGCTTTTTATTTGTGTTTCAGAGCTATATGAAGACATTTACAAAGTTGAAACTTAAAAAAGAGAAGATATCAGATGTTCAGAAGGCGATACGCTCTGGATCTGGAGAAATTGAATTCAAAGACTTCAGAGAAACTCTGAAAGAGTAAGTGATCAAATATCAAAAAGAACAGTGAGTTAACTTCAGTGTTAAACGTAACCCTCACCGCTCTGATGATCTCGCAGGTTGGGACATGCTGATCATGAAATTTCTGCGGCCTTCTCACGGTTTGACCACGATGGGAACCAAATTCTAGACAAGGACGAACAAAAGAGGATGACAATCGAGCTGGAGGAAAAGAGGGTTTGTGTGAAAGTCTACAGAGTTTTAACTTATTTCAATAAAAGACACAATTATAAGAATGAGTTCATGATAGTGCTACCCATTTATTTGTCAGGATGCTCTTAGCGCTGAACTCAACAATCTTGGGATAAATTACCAGAAAGATGTACTGGAGAAGCCTCCTGTAACATCCAACGACCAGAAGAACCACTCCAGTCCTACCTCTGTGGATCAGGAAGAGTTTCTAAGGTTTAAACAGTTTTTACATTTATGAAATGTCTTCAATTTTCGAAATGTCTCTACAATGGATTTTAACCAATAACTAAATAACATTTCTCTTACCATGAAAGACTGGGAAGACAGGTTCTCCAGCTTGAAAGCTCTGTGGCGGGTATCACATCCAGGATGGAGCTAATTATGGAGAAACTGGGATTACAAGAGAAAGCTAAAGGGAACGAAATGAAACTGACTGTAAGGAAATACGTCATTAAGTTGTTCTTAAACCTTGTTGTATGCATCTAATGCTTTATTTAAAAGATATTAGGGTGCATCAGTTCATGGATGTCTATACTTTTCTTACTTCATAGATATTTTGTTCTTCAGAAAATTGGATTAGACTTTCTCTGTTTTGTTGTTATGAATTTAACATTTTCAACTTTTGTTTACCCCCATCCAGAGTGATGACACGGCCTCGGATGGGAGCGTCCTGGTTTGTGTGGACAGAGAGACGAAGGCTAAGACGTCATCGAGGAGACTGGGGGTTCCCCCTAAATCCACATTCAACTCTAAAATATGAGCAAATAGCTTGATACAGAATAATGGGTTTGCATGGAAGTCAGCTGAGATGTGAGGATGAAAGAATCACACGCCAACGTATTTTGCATCACAACTTTCCAATGTTCAAAGTCAGTTAAAGTCACAATCTCAAAGATCTGTTTTCCTGTTTTTTGGCGATAAGTGGAAGTAGCAGGTGTTTTTTGGATCTTTATTACAGATCTCTATAGGGTAAACGTTGACAATATATTTGACACTCTGCTCCAGTTACTCATTTCATGGAAATATGTAAATACTGTATAAAAACAATTTTGAAATTCCTTGCTTACGAGGTTACTCCCCTAGAGTGAATATAATAAACTGGTTCAGGTTGAAGCTCAGATATGTAGAAAACTACAATGTATGTTTTAGATGAGACATGGATGTACTTCTACGTAACATTGTGTAATATACATTATTTTAACAGTAGGTTAGAAAAGTTGTGTAATATAATCTGATATTATGCAGGGGTTGTACCGCCTAACATTAGACTAAGTGACGCTTGCTTTGCTTTAGTCATTTCATGTTTATCAATGTTCAAGTTCTATGACAGTTGCTCAAAAGCTTTCGACTTCGTTCAGTTAAGTGAGATGTATAGCTATAATAAATAATGTTTCATGTTTATATGGAATTCATTCTCCAATAATAACCCTATTTTTGTCCAACTCCTAGGCTGACGACAAATTATGCTGTAATTTAGCAAAACACAAGTTCATGGGCCCATATGAGTAAACCATTGCCAATTCAGGCAATGTGTGTGTCCCCCCCATCCCCCTTTAAACTCTAAACATCTCTGATAAAGGCCCTCTTTGGCCCAAAAATACAAAACATATTTCCATTAAATACATAGAATGAACCCAATGGAAAACATATTTAAAAAAATGAATCATTCATGTTCAATACACCCAAAATATCTGCCAATAAAAAGGTAAAAAAAAGAAAGGGCAAATGTTTTGATGCCGCCTCGTTTATGTAACATTGAGAAAGTACAAACGTATGCTTTGCTTTCAGAATGCTGGTGTAACATACAATTTATTAGTGTCCAATAAATGTAGAAAAAAAAACCCAGGTTCAAATGTTTCCTTTATTTAAAGTCACTTATTGAGTTTTCCTTTTTAAAATGGAAAATTGATTTCATCCTTTATTATTAAACATCACCTCTATTGTTCAACGTATATGTATTATTGTCATAAAACCAAATTGCTATTACATTCAATATTTGAAGCAACAAATGAATTACAAGTCGTAAGCGTGCAGTCTAAGCTGAAACATCACCGGCTTCCTGCTACAAAATGGCACACAAACTTAAAAATGGGGGAATCTACAATGGAAAATGATTTTGGTTTGCAATGGAGCCTCTGCCAATGATGTAATTTGAATTTACTGACACACCAATTAAGGCTTATTCACAAATCATATTGCTGCAATTGTATGATGACATTTCTACCTACAGTATGTACATTGTTTCGTAAGTTTCATGAAGGTTCGTTATCAATGTTTATATTTACACCCTCAGCCAACATGACCCCTGTTTAGTTACACAAAAAATCCCCAAGGTCTAATAAACAAAAAGGGAGAGTGAGCTCACAAGGAGTGTGATATACTGTACAGAATGGCACATACGCAAACAAAAGCCAAATGGCAGGACGTCTTTGTGTAATCCTTGTCGCAATAGATTTTTTTTAAATACTGCTAATGTTCAGCAAACACTGAGGAAATTTAGAGGACTCAGAAAGATATCCGTTGCTCTGACAAGTCGTTTAGGAAACCTTCAAATTCATGAAATAAAACATCCCATTTCATAGTTAGTCTAAAACATTGGACAATTCGTCTTGACATTGACTAAAGAACAATATTTTGATGTAAAACATGATGCAGTTTTCGTCATTAGGGGCTGGTCTAAGGTTGTTTGCAAAAACTCCCAGCTGATAGAAAGAAATGACTATAAATTAACTGAGGTCCTCAACAGGAAGGAAGAACATATTCAAGATTTAATATCTCTCCAGGAAACCAGCCCCCAGATTCAGCACACAGTTAGTTAGCTTTACAAAGATTGGGGGTTAAGCTGATTTTACAATATTTTCTCTATATAGTGAGCACGTGCTGTAGCCTTTACTTCGAGACACGGGATTACAAATGAGGCTAAAACCCATCAAAAGTCTGTAAAGAACATGCTGATCACTCCGATATAAAACATGAAAAAACATAATTTTTTTTGCTTTTAGAGATGTGTATGTAACATTTGTTTTTGTACACAAAATGCACCCAATAGATACCATGTCCCGCTTAAATCTCAAGTTTCTTTACGTATAATGGAAAGGTAGACTTCCGTTCCAGGGCCTCTATTCACAAAGCTTTTTTCATATTTATCTAAAACAAGCACCACATTTCTATCCAAAGCAGGTTGGTTCATTTTTGTGGGTACGGTCAGTTTGTCGTCATGTTGACCCGCCTAATCTGTACCAAAAACATTTTTGACAAACTGACATAAATCACAAAAATAAACTGCAAAGCTTGAGTGGAATTTTGTACACCGTTGTATAGAATGACAGACCAATGCCCCAAGTTTGACGATAGAGTAAACATATTGACGTGTTTGTAACAAACACTAAAATATTAAAAAGCATATTGGCAAACAGAAATCTGATATTGCCATAGTTTGATAACTCAATATTAATATTACAAAGTTTGAGGTTTCTAAGGCTTGTTATCCTCGTCATGTTCCAGTGAGCAGCTGGAGTAATATGATGGCTTTTAGTAAGTGTACTTTTAACCCTAAAATAACATGTGTATGTTATACATTTTGAGTTATGGAAGGGTTACAATTGTTTTTTAAGGGGCCAAACACTTGTGTCCTTTAATGTTTATTTTCACAAATGCAGTTGTTGTATTTAGCTCTAATTCAGGAACCCCAGTGGACTTTGAATTTGTAATAATCAACAAATAAACATTTAAAAATTTGAAATGGAAACCGACAATTTACACACAATTCTTAAACTGGTTGTTAGGGAGCAACTCGTGTCTACAAAGGCTTTGTGAATATGGCCCCTGCCCTTCTTCTCCTACAGCAGGTGTTCAGATAGAAAGAGTGCCGTGTGGTTTTAAAAAGGGTTGACAACATCCTCTTGGTACTACACTTATGTTGGGGCCAGCTCACTGCGTTTGGTAGCCAGCCATGCTGAAGTTGGCCAGGTTGGACATGACCTGTCCGGGGGGGGCTGCGGCCTGGGCCGACTGAGACCCAAAGCCCTCCACCCAGGCTGGGGACTGAGACTGCCTGCAAAGAGCCCACAAAAATCCAGTTAGTATGACTGTGGTGACTGAATACTGATCAGATCAACTCTGTGTGGTGAAATGAATCAGAAATAAATCAAATATCTACTTTTGACTCTACTAAGAAATGCTGGTCAAGTCACCCCCCCATCGCTAATTGAGGCACTTAATGACAGAGGTGAAGACAAACAACTTCTATCTTTGATCTTTATGAACACAATTTAAAACCAGCCAGACTAATGTTGCCATGTTACTCCTATCATTCTGCGTTGCTATAGAAACACACTGACACCGTCCAGGTGTTTGTTTGTTAGTGCAAACACAGGAAAAAGAATATAAAAGCTTGTGAATTATGTCTTTAGAGTCCACTACATAGGTAAGTCTTCTGGCTGTGACCATGTCGTCACATACTGTTTATGAATGAATTGAATACACACTAAAACTTACTCTACTCCAAATCCTTGCTGGTTCCACGTCTGGCCGTACACACTGTAGGAGGGAACTTGCCAGCCATTGGTCACATACTGCCCGTACTGCTGCTGCTGCTGCTGCTGCTGCTGCTGCTGCTGCTGCTGCTGCTGCTGCTGTTGTTGTTGTTGTTGTTGTTGCTGTTGTTGTTGTTGTGGCTGTTGCTGTGGTTGCTGCTGTGGATTCGCATAGACTTGATTCCACTGCCCCCACTGACCGTACTCAACCTGAGTGGAGACGGAGAGCTAAAGAGTGAAAACATGCCTTGATCGCAAATTAGAGGACTGCAGCCGACAAAAGTGGCTCCAGTGTAATCCTATAGGGCAATAGCGCACTGTCAACGTAGTTCTACCTCCATTAACAATGTTTTTGCCACAGACAGGCCTTGGTTTTTATCATAAGTGTCTGACACTATGATCAAAAAGGATCCTACAGAGAAATAAAACCTTTTTCTTTACTTTTTTCTTCCATCCTGTTTGTTTCTTAAGTCATTCAGACACAAAAGGCTCCATCTCAAAAGAATACCCTGGTGATCCTTCAAATCTCCCATTAGATATAACTACTATGCTCAAGAAGGAAATAATACAACAAATACTGCAAGGCCAAAAATGTAATATAACATTTTTAGTCTGTTCATTTTTTTTTTCATTTTGCAAATCACATTTCTGTTTCCATTTCTGGGTTGAGGCTATGTCCCCCATGGTTTAGGGGTAAAAACGCCCTCCACCAACCTCTAAGAGATATTTGCTGCACTTCCTTCTTCCTACCCATCAACTGTTTTCCTGTCATCAAATGCCCATTAAATACAAATCGTATCAGTTTTATATCAATGACATTTTCACTACCTGAGGTGGAGTTTTTGCCATATCAGGAGATTCTTTCCCCCAGAAGCACTTCACTATGTGTCCTTCAATGGCTGTGCCGTTCACTGAAACAATGGCATGGGCAGCACTGTCATGGGTGGAAAACCTTGAAAAAAAGAACAGCAGAGCAAATTTGTCAAACAGGATCTCTTTAAGATTATTAAAACGTAAAGTAAAGACAAACATAAAAGGAAAAGGGCTATTAACACTGAGTCATCGCCTGAACGGCCTGTCATTGAGTCAGTGTTGACATCTAGAGGCCAAATGGTGCAACAGACTGACCTGATGAAGGAGTACCCTTTCTCTGGGAACACTCTGATCTCCATTATTTGACCAAACAGGGAGAAGGTCTGACGCATCAGGTGTTCTGAACGAATCAAACAGTGTTATGTTAGTCCTCAGGCTATTTGAGTGTATGATAAGTAATAACTGGAGCGTGACTAAGGGCTGTGGTGATGCATCTTTATAGAAAATGACACTTGCCTGATAGTCCCAACTGGATCCCTCCACAGTACACGGTGCAGTTCTGTGGACTGGATTGAGACACGACGTCATCGAACCTCAGCTGCTTTGAGCCATCTGAAATAAAAACAAACAACACTCATGAAGGGAGGATCCTAACTTTATACACAAAGTTTACCGTTAAAACCCACATCTGTTAGCTACAATTGTTGCTTATAATCAAATGGGATGTATTATAGCTCAAAATAGAGCCTGGTATGGTAACATGTGTTTCTCTTATCCGGTGTGCTCTGGGCAGAAGTGCACTGGGCATACTGCCAGACTTGCGCCAGATAAACTAATGTGAATGATTAAAAGGGAAAAGGAGCGAGGAGGGGTCAGCCTCACAGTCTGAACAGCAAATCCACTTTTATGTCTGCTTGGATATGTCCGTGATTGTCTTTAACAATATTAAGGAAGTAGTTCAATTGCTCACTATGCTTGAAAGCCATTATGTTAGTGGGCCTCCATGTGGAAACCTCTAGAGATGTGACTCGGGGAATAAAAACAGAATAGGGAACTATATCGAGAGGATGACTCTGCAGGAATGAAAGACACTGTGAGAATCTCTTGGAGTATAACAGCATCTGGTTGGATGTGGATAATGACTAAGGAAAAAAGTGGAGTTGGGACACTGGGCAAGAATATGATCCATGTAACGCATTGTAAAGGTTATTGCAATTTCAAGTTCAATTTAGCCTAATTTCTTTATTGCATTTATTAAAAAATAAATGAATACATGAAACAGTCCTCTTTAATTATGGTTTGCATAATTGGCTTTTTGGGAAAAATGCAATAAAATGTAAACGTGTAAAAAAACAAAACACAAAAAGATTTCCCTACAATCGTGATGGTTCAGTTGGACTAGAATCTGCACGGCAACATGTACTGGCCCACTAAGTGAAACCCTGTGTGGGTGTGCAGTGCTATGCAGGGACTCACTGTCCTGGACACTCTTCGGAGCCGGTGGTTTGCGCGTTGCCCAGTTGGTCCTGATTTGGCGGCCTCCGAGCCACTGCCCCCCCATGTTATGGATGGCATTCTCTGCATCCTATGAATGGAAATCAAAATGAGTTACCTCTCTGGATAATCATGAATCTCTAAGTGTATCTGAACCGTAAATCAGTTCTTAAAATATACATAACAGTTTGTATTTAAGTAATATTGAAACTGGTGATGGTTAAGAAGGAACTATGTAATGTTAGATGATACAAGGAGTTGTGGCTTTGATAACTGATGTTCGAATGACTGTAAATGCAGTAAAGTAGGATAATAAACAGAAAATAGAAATAACCTTCAGTCTGTGTTCTTGCACTGGAGCCTTACCAGTTTGTTGTAGAAGGACACAAATCCATACCCCTTTGATTTGCCTGTCGTCATGTCCTTTACAACACGGGCATCCCTGGAGGGAAACGTAAAAAAACAAAAACACTTCAGTACACTCTCCGCTTTAAACACTTAAAACTAAAAAGGAACCACGCATAACACACTGAACTGAATCCTCTGCTCTGTCCTACATTCATTTAATTAGCTATCCTGACCCTGTGCTGAGCACTGACTCGCAATATAAACTCAAAGCAACAATAAAACAAGCACAAAAACATGCAGTCTAGAGTAGTTTTTAAATATTTTCAGATGTAAAATGGAAGTACTGGAGCACCACTTCTTGTTCAATGTTTCTCATCTCAATTCACAAAAAGGAACCAGATTATATAGATTACCATGCATTCTTAAAATTGGACCTTGGTGCTCTTCCTACAAATAGAAATATATAGAAAATAGCAAAAGAGAGTAAAAGGAATTAAACGGCATACATGGCCTGTTAACAGATTTCTTTTTTTCCCTGGTCATTTCTTTATCACCAATATGGAGTTTGGGGAGCTGCAAATTTCGAAAAATTGACATTTTCAGAAATGTTGGAAGAGGTTCATTGCACTACAAAAACAACACTATGAAAATGAGACAATTTAAACATAGATTAGGAAGAAAACATAGAGTATTGGGTTGTGTTAATCTAGGATAGATTATGTTAATACATAGCATCTACAAATAAAGACAAATGGAAGGAATGGAATAAATAGAGAAAAAAAACTACATCTGAGTCTCCAGAGTGCACAGTTCCTTGCTGTTAGCCTTCAAGCTCCTGTCCAATCCTATGAGCATTTCTGTAAAATAACCAAAGGGCTATTACTTCAATGAGACCCACAACTAGAAGCTGATCAGGTTCATACACACAGCTTACTTTATGCTGACAAATGATTTACTTACCATACCCTAAATACGCAGAGTTAAGCAAGAGTAGGCTACATTTTGGCACTTAAGTCTACAAGTGAGTCACTGAAATAAAGCAGTTCATAATTGACAGGAAATACATTCAATAACGATAAACTTAGCAAAACATATGATAGCAAGAGTTGGTTTATGGGATAATGGTCCATCATTAACTTTGTTTAAATGCATGGATGCCGTGAATTTGACAGAATTTAAAAATCAAGATTAAACAAAAATGAATTGGTCCTCCCGAACCTTCTAAAGTGTTAGACGTTACTTCTCATTACTGGTCACAAGAGATACATTGGGCACTTCCTCTTTGTGTTCATTTGCTAATCCCAGATTACATCCAGAGTAAAGCATAACAATCCCAAAACCAGCTCATCGATTTGTCTACCTGACAATTACAACAACAAAAAGTGTTATTATAATTAGGTATTTGCAGGGCTAGGCAAATATGAGTAGCATCAATGCTCCATCCGTAGTCAAGGCCTGTGTTGTGCAAGCTTTTGTTTCCCCATTTACAGTTTGAGTCCCTTTCTCAATATGATCGCTCATGTCTCCTTTGGTACATTTAATTTGAATTTACTTAATCTTATTATTTTGGGTAGGGCCCTTTATGTATGTTGGATATCTAGCAGTGGAGAGATAATAGGAGAAGAGGGGAGAAAGAGGGGGCGATGACATGCATGGATGTGGCCGACCATGTGGTCCCTTTACCAGGGTGCATCAAGTTTCATACAATATCAAACCATTGTTTTTATTCCAATATAATGAAATGATATGAGATCAGAAAGAGCTAGTAGGAACCAAAACCTTTGTGATATCAGCTGTGTGGAGCAGAGTATAGGGCTGCTCAATTAAATCGTATTTTAAATCGCGATTACGAAAACAACGTAATCGAAATAAAATGATTCTTTTTTTCCTTCATATTATTACTTTTAAATAAAAAAATTTTAAAATCAGTTGAATTATACTTAAATTTCAGGGTAATCAACTGTTAAAAACATACTGTTCAAATTATTTTTCTCCAATAAATGGATGTTTTCAAAGTCAATGAATAATCGCATTTAATAATCGCAATTACAATAATTGACTCAAACAATCGAGATTATGATTTTTGCCATAGTCGAGCAGCCCTACAACACAATGCATGATACTTTTAATATGATCAGATTTATAATTAAGACAATACATATTGTATGCATGTTAACAGGATAATAGACAGACAGTTGTTTCAGAGCACAAATGTAGAGAATTATTGATATAATAAAGCATCTTAATATTGGTAAACTTTAGAAAAATGTTTGCATTAAAATTATTTTATTGGGCGTAAAATAAATAAATAATAAAAACTTACGAGATTTTCCCAAAAGGTATAAAGGCAGCCTTGACATCATCGGTGGTGATCTCTGGGCTCAAATCACCCACAAATACATGGAAGTGATCTAGATGAAGAAAATGATACAAACAAAGATAAGAAACCATTTAATACTCCCTGTTCAACTTACTTTCAGCAGATTAGAAACATAATTGATGAACACTTACTGGAAGTGTCTTTCTTTTGGCTACTTGGAGTAGTGGCCCAGTTTACTTTGACCTCCTGTAAGCAAAGAGTTCATAGAGTCTGAGAAATGTTCAACAACACACTCAAATCATAACCAGAATTCAGAAACCGTTGTGTGTTGATTTCAATTGTAGACCAAAATAATTGTCTTACCTTTCCCAATATCTTCCTCCCATTCATGGCTGCAAGGGCTGCAGCAGCATCTCTGTGTTCATAGAACTCCACAAAGCAATAGGGATCATTGCTTGTATGCTGCAAAAGACAGATAAAACACAAACGTTCAAAATGTGGGTAGTAGAACAACTAGGATAGAGCAGCTGCATCTTAAATCAATGTCTATTTGTATTGTATTCAACAGCGGTGGATTTGTACTATTGGTTAAAGTATAAATTGTTGACGTGGCTACCCTCCAAATGTAAATGTCATGAGAAGGAGACATCAAAAGTAAAAGACATGCATGACGGTAAACAACCATGGCTGCTTACCTCTGTGATCATTTTACAGCTTTTGCAAGGCCCGATCTGGGTGAAGAGCTGCAGAATCAAAATCTCTGTTACATCCTTGGAGAGGTTTCCCACATACCTGGAGGGAAAAGAGTGGTTTCATGTAATGAACGCTGGTCATGGTTACAGTTGAACGATTATCCAGGAAACACTGAGGTGGTACAGACTGTAATGCGTAGATATTCTAGGAGCACGTCGCTTATTTCGAGTATTTACGTTACCTTGGTATGGTGAGTTACTAATATGACGTTATAACATTAACGTTAGCTTGACTTTCAAGATGGCCCAACGTTAGTTAAGGCTAGCGTCAACTTCACCGCGGTTGACGTACAGATTAAAAACACATTCGAAATGCGTAATGTCTGCATGTTATCTTATGTAAGCGTACTTGGCGTTAGTAAAGCGTTACATGTGTGTATTGTATGGTGGTATTTGCCAGGGTTGTAAAGTCAGCGGGTAACGTTAGCTAATTTAGCCACCGGTTCCCGACCGTGGCGAAGCTAACGCTACCGTGAGACATCTAAAGATACTTACAGGGTTTTGGGGTAGCTGTCGTCGTCCATTGCCAAAGCCGACAACAAACGTTAACCGAGTGATGTGTATGATGTTAACGATCTAGTAACAACAACTAGCTAACTAGCTTAGCAGCTAGCTAACCGGGCGCCAGGGTATACGTCACGCTGGGAGTCCAGATAGCGAGCGTGCGTGGGCGGGTGCGTGTGCCTGAAGAGCCCCGGTGAGGTCAGGGTGAGTTAACGAGAAGCTACCATTCTTACAGTTTTAACAGTGTAAATCATAAACCCCGTAATACAAATAATTTGTTTAAGTGATTGGTTTATAATTCAATACAAACGCTCAAACAGATTACACATTCACTACCTTATTTATCACATTTAGCAACGACTTGAGGTGATTTTTAAGACTTTTATTTTGAAGTGGAAAGGTTGTGCTTGTTTTATCCACCGGTGTTCGACGGTTCATGGCAGTTTCTCGAACCTTGGGGATCTTTACGGATCTGTGGACACATTCATGTTTGATTCCGATATTCTGTCTTATAGCAGTATGATTCCAAATATGTATTTTGTATTGTTTTTTTACTTGAACAATAATTGCAGTAACTGAAAGTTAGAAGGAAACATTAATTACTGTATTCCCAAACGTTTTATTTTTATATTAGCACTAGGGGGCGCCAGAGACAGCTACTTTTACACTGAGTTGCTGACAGATGCTGTTATCTCGAATTGTTTTTTAATGAAAAGGGAAACAAGTAAGATTTCTCCTGTGCCATTATTCTATCAAATCTCCATCAAGAATACTGAGAGTGTTTCTGCAGTCCCTATTCACATCAAGTCGTAAATGTTCCAATTTCTGTTGAGCAATACGTAATTCCTTAATCCCCTTAACCACCAAGGACAGGTGGTGGTTAGCAGGTGAATATAGGCTTTTCAGTGATGCCCCTTGGTGCTATAACATAACATATTTAAAAAAAACATGTCACAAAGTATTCTGGCAACATGAACCTCATCTCTGAATGAAGAATCTGATAATATTGTTTTAATTTGATTCATCACTGTATAATTGAGTGCAATGACTAAATGCATTAACTATTGTGTCACAATCTGCTACTTCTCACTATATAATAAAGTATACAAATAATATTCCTTTTGAGAAATGCTTATTGAGTGTTGTTAATATATAATCACCTTTTATAGTACTTGGCTCCAATGGCTATGTTATATAGGTTTTGTTTTGGACAATTTGAACACCTTTGTCAGGTATCCAAATCAATATTATACCACTGCTATCTCTGCATCTTTGAAAAACCATGTAATGATTTCAGACAGTCTCCAGCCAAGGCAGTATGAGTTTTTTGACATTTACAAATATTTCTCGTCTGAGGCTGAATGGAGTGTTGTGAATTAAGAAAGATTTGTCAATGGGGGTGTCACAGTGCCCACACTGTCACACACCACACAGTTAACTATTGCATAACAAATTCAGAGTTCCCTTGGACAGGATGTATCATGTATGCCTGTTGTTATTAAGAATCTCGGGATTCCCTTGACTAATACACAGAAAGTTGTTCTCAAGCGGGGGTTTAGGGACGCACAGGGGTCCATGTTTGGGTGTTCAAAGGTGTATGGTGATGGTTTCCAGAGGGGGAAGGAGTACTCAGAACTTGCACTAAAGTAAAAGTAGAAGTACCAGAATGTAGGAATACTAAAAAAATACTATAAAAGTCCTGCAATCAAAAATGTTACTCAAGTAAAAGTACAACAGTGTAGCATCAACATATTAGAAAGTAGGCCTACCAAAAGTAAAAGTATTCAGAATGCAGATTGGCCCTTTTCAGAATAATATTATAATATCATTTAATATAATTATTGATCTGTTTAAGAGTTAATCTGTGTTTTTAATATGTCTGTTTTCAAAGCATTCGCTGGAGCAGTGACTATAAATCTCGTTGTATTCTGTACAATGACAATAAAAGCTTTTGAATTGAATTTGAATTGTTATCAAAGCAAATGTGTAGTTTTAAATACTTTGTATACTGCAGGGTATCTTGTGAATTTGCAGGTGTAACTAAAGTCTTATTTAAGTGTTGATTATATTTCAAATAATTAATTCAAAACGAAAAAAAGTATTAAATAATTGAAGTGAAGTAAAAGTACATGATTAACCTCTGATTTGTAGTGGGGTAGAAGTAGCAAAAAATGTAAATCTTCAAGTAAAGTACAAGTCCCTCAAATTGTACTTAAGTACAGTACTTGAGTAGATGTAGGTTACTTTACACCACTCATGGTTTCCCCTCCAACTGGAGAAAATATGACCGTTATATGAAGAGAGCACTTTCTACACAGCTGCAGTGAAAATCCTGCGGCTTTCTGGGAAATGAAATGCACAACAGAGGTTTAATACGAGCCTATGTTAGGGGGTTTGCGACATAACAGCTTTGGGAACCCGTGCCACAGTGATCCAGCGCTGGCCGCCCCCGACATTAACCCGGCTATTTCGAGAAACTTCCAGCCCACTTTCCCACGTCACTTCAAGGAATCTTTAAAGCGTCCGTCGCCTGCATAACATGTTTCAGTACTCGACAGCCAGCAATATGAACGGCATGAAGACACAGTCACCGACACTGACAATGGCCAACAATGACAGCGACCCTCTCCCTCTCGGCTGGGAAGTCAAAATTGACCCTCAGACTGGATGGCCCTTCTTTGTGGATCACCATAACCGCACGACCACCTGGAATGACCCGCGACACGACACGAAGAAGGTAACGGAGCGGCGTGATAAAGTTTGTCAGTGTTAGCGGCTAGCGGCGGTACAACTCTTTATTTCTCCGTCGAGCTTGGTCGGTTCTAGCAGGTGTTATGAATTGGTATGCTGTTAAAGACGTACTACATCACTGTTGTATTAATCTTGTTGACGGTAGGCCTTGTTGGGAACCGTCACCTCCCCCTCACAGACAGCTCAGACGCCTATTATAACGGGTGATCAACCCCGTTATGTTCCAGTGTCATGATCTAACTCTATTATTACTCGATGACTCACCATGCAGTATGTAGTAGACTACCTATGATGAGCTTTCGGTATTTCAATGTCGCTTCTTTCATGGTGAAAAACACAGCGACGTCCAGCTCAAATTAAACTTTTTGCCTTACAAGGATTGAGGCTGGTCCCGTTTACTTTGGCCTGTTTGGAGTATAACTGTATGATAGACGCTGCCCGCATATCATGTTCTGCTGGATTTATTACATGTTATGAAAACATACAGGTCTACGGAGAAACCCCAGTTGGCTGAAGTTAACCTCGCAGGCTGCCAGTTGTTAATCTTTCGTCTCACAGACAGACACCGTTGTCCAAAGTTAGTGTCCCAAAGAATCTGCTGGAAAGACACAGCTGTCAGGGGATAAAATTGGTGCAACGGTGCTGGCAGTGTGAAGTGTCCCATACAGAAATGGCAGAGGGCAAAGGGTCGTTAACAGCTACTTCATAACTTTATTTTCGAGCGAAAATGCTACTGGATTACATATAAATGCAGTTTTCTGTTATGGAGGCTTCATTACTTGGAGTTAGTGGGTAGATCATTACAATTTTTTTGGGATATAACATTGACAGCTTGCTGAAGCTCTGAAGCTGACTTGTTGCTCCATGGCTGTCATTAGCAGGTGTCATGTTACTTGGTACAAAAAAAACAATTCAAAAATAGTTTTTTTGGATGAAAATTAAAATTTTCCCTGTTCATTTGAATTGTTTGAAATCCTGGCCAGTATGGATAGTATAATTATTTCCTAATTATTGAGATATAATGCTGTGATTGATTTCCTGTTTTTATAATTGTTTCATTAGTAGGTCCCCAATAAGGAGTCACTTTCAGTGTGATTATTAGTTGTGCATGCACACATGTATTCTCAGATGTATGTTCTTTTTTATATGATTAGACTAGAACAGCTGCTTGTAGAAGAAGTTTGCCAAATGGGGAAAAAAACCGTTTTTCAGCATAATATTATGTAAACACAATTCAATTATTTGACTCTTTTATAGGGGAAAGTGGTCAAACAGTGTAGAAAAACCGTTCCCGCTCTGTGTATGGCATAATTATAATTAACTAATAATATGTTAGTTTAAAGGTTTTGCCAAAAATATTGTGTGCCAGGTGAAAGATATCACTGTGCTTGTGGAGCAACATATCACACAGAAACACAGATTTTCTGAATGGGAATGAACCTTATTCCATGTTAATCAGAAGTTTATTTCATTTATGAAATACTCAAAGAAGTGATACATTTAGCATCCCCCTGTGGAAGTTTCACATTTGAACCTATAACCTCTGCAGTTATCTCAGGACTGAGAGAACTTTCCTATTAAAAATACTTACGTTGTTTGTATTAACTTACATGTTTGTTTAGCTGGACATATTTAGATAGTAATGTTGAATTTATGAAGGTTCATTTGTAAAGGATACATAGAGGAAATGTATGTTACTTATTTTCCTCAACATTAAGCAAAGATTGCTTGGTTAAACAAAAAATAATCTTGCGTTTTGTTAGTTTGTATGACTTTTTATTGCTTAAAATAAGAAAATCATCTTCTAACATATTTGATGACTTTGATTAAGGGATTATAATGTCAACCAAGTACGTATTGTTTACAGGGGTGATTTCTAAACTTTTTTTGCGGTTAAATTATTTCTTTTGTTTAATCTAAGCATGTCTTATTTAGTGGCTTTCCTTATTGCTCTATCATGTTATTGTTATTTAAAATAAATTCATTCTTGATATTATAGATATATAATAACTAGCAATTAAATCCATATTCTATTTGCTCAATTTCAGGTCAGGGAAGTGTCATCAAATGGTCCCAACATACCACCAGAACCCAGCCCTCAGGAGACTCAGAAAACCTTTGTGAGGGAGATGAAGCACCCCATTTTGCGCCCAGGTTACGTCCCTATCCCTGTCTTCCATGACGGCGCAGAACTGAAGCAGCAGCAGCATCCATGTTATTCCTACATCCAGCCAACTATTGCACAGAATATCCGGTCGGACGGGCGGACACCTTCCCCGACGCCGGGGCTCCACTGCAGGCCCAGATCACCCCTACATGGATCTACAGATAGCTGCTCCCCTGAGCCTGGAAAGGCCAGCTCGCCTGTTTCACAAACAGCAGAGGTAGGATTTGAGTACACATGCTGCAAAACCATATTTTGTTTGTGTAAAATAAATCAGCAAATACTGAATTTTTGTTTCAATTCCCAATATTCTTAAGGTTTACACTGCCCCACATCACCAACCCTCACGCCCCAGCAGCACTGGTTTTCAAGCAGGTTACATCCCCATCCGTGTGATCCATGAGGGTGGAGGAAGTCAAACACCAACACAGGCTCAGTTAAATCCCTCCGTCTACTCTCAGCGCATCCCCTACCCAGAGCACCACCAGCCCCTCCATCGCCATCAGACCGACGAATGGCCCGGCTACTCTGCGGCAATGCAGCCTCCCCGGGAGAGAGCTTCTCCGATCCAACATCGAGATGCTACTTCTATTCACCTCCAACCTCATATTAGATGCCAGTCACCTATTATAACGCAGGTGATGGGAGAGAGACCGCAGGTAATTATTATTTGTGTGTGTTTACACTGAGATTTATCTTGATTTTAACGTCAGTATGTGTTGACCTAAATTGTGATGTCATCTTTTTAAACTTCTAAGGCTCAGCAGCATGTCCTCACTAGAGACCCGCCCCAGAAAATGGAGCAGGAACAACACACCGCTCAGCAGAAACCCGAGAACAAGCAGCTCCCCCACCCATCGCACACAGAAGTTGACTTCCAAAAGCCTCAACAACCTCAACAGTTCCAACAGCCTCCACCTCCGCAACCTCAAAAGTTCCAACAGCCTCCACCCCCGCAACCTCAACAGTTCCAACAGCCTCCACCCCCGCAACCTCAACAGTTCCAACAGCCTCCATCTCTGCAACCTCAACAGTTTCAGCAACCTCAACAGTTTCAGCAACCTCAGCAGTATCAGCAACCTCAGCAGTATCAGCAGGCACAACCTCAATCCCCACAGCCTCAGTATCCTGAACAGTTCCCGCAGCCGCAGCAACAGTTCCCGCAGCCGCAGCAACAGTTCCCGCAGCCGCAGCAACAGTTCCCGCAGCCGCAGCAACAGTTCCAGCAGCCGCAGCAACAGTTCCCGCAGCCGCAGCAACAGTTCCAACAGCCGCAGCAACAGTTCCCGCAGCCGCAGAAAGTGGAGCAACCACAACAACATACTGCAGATATCACAGTACAAATACCTCCCAAACCCGAGGCCGAGGACACAACAGTTGTTCCCCCAGAGGTCCCACCTGTGAAGGTTGAGGCTGAACATGCTGCTCAGAGCCCAGTGCATCCAGGTTTGGCTAAAGTACAGCAGATTGTTGCAAGGGTTGCTAAACTGGAGCAGGATGTGAAATGTTTTGAGGGAAAGAAGAATGGTAAGAAATACTTGTTACTGGAGGAGCTGCTGACCAAAGAGCTCTTAGCACTGGACTCTGTTGACCCAGAAGGTCGCGTAGACATACGGCAGGTGAGGCGGGATGGAGTCCGGCGTGTTCAGAACATACTGGAAGCACTGGAGCAGCTGGAAGAGCGGCCATCTAGGGAAATGGCGATGGAGGGAGAGAACCAGATGCAGAAAGGAGAGCCCAGAATGATCTCCAAGGAGAATGTAGAGCTGGCAAAGGAGATCTCATAATGACTTCACACTTCACACTGAAGAGGAGAGCAGGATGACCTGCTGTATATTTGATAGTGAACAAGTCTGTTTCGGCTATCTCTACTCCTCTTCTTTCTACAGCATTTGTTGAAGTTGCATGCATTGATTAACAGTGTTGGTATTTCCTGCCATTCAGCACATAATTGATGGTAGCTCAGTGCAATCATGTTTTCAAGCCGATGTTGTTGCCTTCTATGTTGTGCCAATGTCTTCATAATAAGACAGCTGTCATGGTCAAGGTGTTGTCAGGAATGTCTAGTCAAATTTAAGTTGAAATACACTGAACAAAAATATAAACGCAACACTTTTGTTTTTGCTCCCATTTTTCATGAGATGAACTCAAAGATCTAAAACATTTTCTATAAACACAAAATAACCATTTCTCTCAAATATTGTTCACAAATCGGAAAAAATCTGTGATAGTGAGCACTTCTCCTTTGCCGAGATAATCCATCCCACCTCACAGGTGTGGCATATCAAGATGCTGATTAGACAGCATGATTATTGCACAGGTGTGCCTTAGGCTGGCCACAAGAAAAGGCCACTCTGAAACGTGCAGTTTTGCTTTATTGGGGGGGTCTGGGGGGGTCCGAAAACCAGTCAGGTTTGACCCATAACATGTCACCCATTGAGCATGTTTGGGATGCTCTGGATCGGCGTATACGACAGCGTGTTCCAGTTCCTGCCAATATCCAGCAACTTCGCACAGCCATTGAAGAGGAGTGGACCAACATTCCACAGGCCACAATCAACAACCTGATCAACTCTATGCGAAGGAGATGGGTGACATGTTAGGGTTAGGGTTGGGTTTAACCCTAGGGTTTTCGGACCCCCCCAGACCCCCCCAATAAAGCAAAACTGCACGTTTCAGAGTGGCCTTTTATTGTGGCCAGCCTAAGGCACACCTGTGCAATAATCATGCTGTCTAATCAGCATCTTGATATGCCACACCTGTGAGGTGGGATGGATTATCTCGGCAAAGGAGAAGTGCTCACTATCACAGATTTTTTCCGATTTGTGAACAATATTTGAGAGAATGGTTATTTTGTGTTATAGAAAATGTTTTAGATCTTTGAGTTCATCTCATGAAAAATGGGAGCAAAAACAAAAGTGTTGCGTTTATATTTTTTTTCAGTGTAAGAGGCCTTTATCAATAAATGGAAGAAGAGTTTAAGTATTTTCTTAAGAAGTGTTATGTGTGGCTGCCTTTTGTCTTGATCATATATTGTATGCAGCTTTTCTTAATCCAGTCAGAAAATCGGTTAGTACACAAGTGCAAACATTGGGCTTTAAAGCAGAGCTCAGTCAACAGAAAAAAGCATTTCCCCCCTTTATAGCCACATGGTCGTGTTGGAGCTGCTTTGTCACAGAGCACAGTGAATATGTTTATTAGATGCTGCTTTTTGGCGCATTACTGATTTTGCCGTCTTTGCACTTTGCCATCATTGAAATGTATCATGCTGAAAGATCATGGGCACTTCATTTGAAATATACAAGTTACACAGGTTTTGATTGATGTGTTTGAGTGTTTGTATGTGCATTGGTTTACTTGTTATTTCCTTATATAGTATTTTGGTACATTTATGAATGTGTAAGGACAAATTGAGGTCAGATGTGGACCTTACTTGAGATGTCGGACAATCAGCACCTGGAGGAATCATAGTTTAAGATTATCAGAATGTATAACCACCACAGCCACAATCTGTAATAACGCTGACACAACCCTTCAACATGTCAACTGTGAGAAAGTGCCCGGTTCTTAAAAAGATGAAGCAAGGAAATTCCAATCTGTAATTTAAAAAGGTTCAAAAATATTCTTAAGATCTCACTAATCAGTTGTGTCCTAATTTGTCACTTTGATAATCATAAGCCATCTGTAAGGTAGGGTCTCTGCCGAACCCACCCTAACAAAATGATAGATTGTGGTATAGTGTTTGTTATTCACTGTTTATGAATAGCAGACTGATGCATTGTTGAAAGCAAATCACGTTGGTATGTTTGAAAATAAAATTTATTTGACAAGGATTTTGACTAATATTTGGGTTCCCACAGATTCTGCAACATTACTCACTGGCTATATAATCCATTATTTAAATGGTATTGTTGTGCTACCTTTGGATTTAAAGACGTGTCCTGAAACAGCATTCAGCTGGCTTAGTTTTCAATAGTAAGATTAATGTCTCTGTCTGAGATCAGCTGCTCCTTTCCTTTTCCCTCAGAGCCCAGCTGAGTCATAACAGAACATTTTTGCCGCCTTCTTCCTAATCGGGTGTGGACAGCTAAAATGTCTGGTATGTTTTGTGCTTTTATGTAACATCAAAATAGGCACATTATTCCTTTTTTGTTTTGCACTTAATCCCACTCATTCAACTGGGATAAGCCCGCTGTCTCTAAAAAAAAGTAGCTGAAGCTATGATGTTTTGCCATCTCTGAAAAAGAGTATCAACATTTTTTTACTTGAAGGCAAATGCCGGGTAAAAGCTACATTCCTAGTTATATCACATTTATTTTTAATTATAAGACAAATAAAGCCAATCAAAAGTTACATTCTTATTTTCACTTTCTTCAGAATGAGGAGTCCAATTATCAACATAATTGTGTTTTCAAGATATAACATCATATAATGAGTAAAACATATAATTAACAATTACTGCATTCATTTAAATTATGTAATAGTTTAGTATATTAAAATATTTTAATTTTTGTATGTAGGCCTACGGTACCTGTGCCCTTTTGATGACGGGACAGATCACGTGTTATTGTTTAGAGCAGGAAACTGTCGGTTACATCTTGAACTGCACACAGCAGCTGGGACTCCTCACTCATTGATGTGTCTTTGCTTTTACTCTTCCCAGCATGACAGCGGGAAGGGCTGCTTCCAAAGTGGAAAGGGAATTTTATTAGCATTATGCTTATAAGGGAAATAAACACATTCGATAAGCATCCAGCTGCTGCCGCTAGCTCGCTAGGTGGCTAGCTCCCGTAGCTCACCAGCCTGAGGGGGACGAGCTAACCGTGGCTAGCCAGTCGCTCTCTGGCTAGCTACAGTCAACCTCCAGGACGTGGAAGTTCTTTATTACCAGTACCTGGCTGCGAAGACAGATAGTTATCTGTGTTTGTGGCACATAAAGGGACAACATGGAGCTGTTCCAAGCCAAAGACGACTACATTCTCCAGAGCGGGGACCGTGCTCTGTGGTGCAGCCGAAAAGACGGGACCATGACGGTCAGACCTGGTATGTACTGATGACATCTTTCTGTACTGCAGCCGGCCATTTACCTGACACTAAAACTCCACTTTATGAATATTAGAGTAAAGTAATGTCATATACTTCTTATCCTGTATGATAGGTGAGTCTAAAACACCTCATTGGGTTAGTCTCATCTCCTGATCGTTATTGGCACTCACTAATCTGTGATATAAACGTTATCATTAGATTGGTAAATGTATCCAGCTGCGTCAAACATAACAATTCGATTTTTTTTCAGAGATAAGATAGATATGCGCCGTTTCTAAGTCTTGAAACCATCGTCTAAGCTTTCATTCCCGGAGTGGCAACACCCCAAATTTCAAAGTTCTTGCTCTGCTCCTTATCTTCAATTCTTCTCCTGACCAAACAGACATAGTACAGGGCTGTAAGGAGGGCAAGATAACCTCATTTGAGCTTTCATATGATATACTTGATTCATGATAGCTTAGCCAATGTACTATTCTAATCTGGTGTATTATCAGAAAACTATTATGTCATTCTAATGTTTCAAGTAGTGCGAACTATACAGGTACAGGCATGTTAAGTGTGTGAAGCAGCTCCTGGCATTACACAATAGCAGTGTTGGGCAAGTTACTTCCAAAATGTAATATATTACATATTACTTATTACTCTCTTTTGAAAGTAATAAGTTACATTACAATATTACTGTCTCTGAAATGTAATGAGTTACACTACTTTAGTTACTTTCACCAAAATAACCGCAAAACAATGGCTAGGTATTTTAAATGCTAAAATGTAGTTATTGTTCATCCAGTGAAGGGTAATGTGGTATAGCATAACAACTGTAGGTCCTTAAGGCTACTAACAACTTCTATTGCACGGCTTAATTGAATACGGCTTAATTGAATACTCGATTCTGATTGTAAATTCTTAACATGTGACACGTTGTTAATACAGCAGTGCAGGCCACTGTCAAGGACTATAATGAAGATTTCTAAGGAGGATCAAGAAAGAGAAAGGAAAAGAGGTTAAAAGACGGAGCGCTGGACGTCAGATAAATCACCAGAAGAAGGCAGAGAGGAAGTAAACCATAACAGGACACGGAATGGGCTCTGTAGTTTGTTTAGTATATGGCCATGTACAGGCCCGGTTCCAGAACAAAATGACTCAGGGTGCATCTGAGATTACAGGGGGCGCAGCAGTAGTAGGTTTACATGAGCAATAGTGGCCGGCAACAGCAATGAAAAATAGCATTGATGGTCCCCAATGAACAGATTATGGCATTTGTTATGTTTTGAAACCAAGCAAGTGAGAACATTTCAAGTGAGTTAAAAGTGCAATCCTGAAATATTTCATATAGTCCAAAGTGGGCTATGGCAAAGAAAAGCACAAAAGCTTCAAAACTGTACTGATAAAACAGACGAGAACATATTGTAAATCAAGGCAAATATTATTTGAAGCTCCATCTTGGAGCTCATGGTTTTTAATGGCAAACATTGAAAAGCAAAAGTATTATTAAAACCATGTACTACATCATCACCTTGGTCCCATCATATACTCTGGGAAGAGAATATTTACTTTGCTTGAAAACTGGTGCAACATCAGCTCGTTGATAAGCTTGGGATATGAGATATTTTTGGAGCCATTCGTGGTGAAGGCATCTGTGCTATTGTATGCATTATTTTTGACCCAACATTTCTATAGGCATGTCAGAATATGGTACTATTTTCACATGAATATTCTAGCCATTGTCTATTTTTATACCACAAGCTGCAAAATGACCGCCTTACCCCACTGTACAGGCGGGTAGTTGTTTAGATATACCTGGGCACCTGCGGGCCGCAGAGGGGCGGCGTAGTTTTGGGCGACGAAGACTGCTGCTCCGGGGGCGAGGCCGGCGAGTCAGGCGGGACTCGGGAGTAAGCTAGTGTCCACAACGGAGGGTAACGTGATGTCCCCATCTGACCCGTTGCTACTAGGCTTGTTTGAGACAAGCGAGACCTGTGCAGACCTACACAATTGCGATCAACGTCTTGCTAGTGCGTTGCATGATGGTTAGTCATTTTGTCCGACTTGCCCACATGAGACGTTGAAATTTCGCGGGACAAAGACGCCCGCAGACTTGAGAGCGAGGCGC